TGAATTATGAGCAAAACTTTCAGCTCTATCTTTTTCTTCATTTTAAAGCAGAAAACAAAGTAGTGAAGAGGCCTTCAGGGGCATTAATGATCTGCCAAATGTCAGTGAAGATGAACTGCTTTCTTGAAAAAATGTGCCCTTCCCGTAAGAGAGCTCCTGTTTAGCTCACCAAGGGTGGCCTGCGAGAGAGAGCCTCCTGTGGACTGTTGAGCTGGCCTGCCTTCCGTGATGTTGGTTAATTGTGTAGATGCCGAACGTAAAGATTTTTGTGACAGCATGCTGTACAGATCAGAATCCATTCAACCATCATAAAAAAGAACTCTGCTGATAAAACAGGACGTCGGAACGGAGAAGGATTATCTACAGGTCTGCTAGTGGTCATCGCCCAGCTGAAGCATTGTGCCAACCTCGGGGAGAAAAAAGCAAAGAACTAGCCGAAAATAAAATATGGGAAGAAACATGTATCTGCTCAGGCCAAATCCTTTGCAAAAACGATGGTCCAATTTTTTATCAGTGGGTGGCTAAGTAACGGTGCTTCCTGTCAAACGAGGATCAAGAAAGTGCTTGCTTTTGGAAGTTTTTTTTTTTTTTAATTACGATTATTGTTATACTTTTTATTGCATGGAAACCAATAACGATGTCCCGTTAAGGAGGTATTTGAGGAATGCTTGGCTTTTTGTGAGCAGGTGATTCAGTTTCATTTTGACAGCAGGTTTTCAGAGGCCCTTCGTTTCCTGTACTCAGAAGCGAAAGACAGAAGGGACGTGCGTTGCAGAAGGGCAAGATGGCGTCCTTAAAAATGGGTTTTGCGATTGCGTTCAAGCACAAGCAGCAGAAATGCATTGTTTGGCAAAACAGTCTGTCCAGCTGGCAAAGCACAGGCTCGTATTTACTGATAATAATTGTACTTTATATCTGTGTTACTGCATGGCTATGTACACAAAATTCAGGGTTTTATAAAAAGTAACCATCCGGTGCTTGCTGGCATGTTTAATAGTTGAATAACTTTCAAGGATGAACATAGAGACACTGCAGTTTTTCAATACACTCCAAGGATTTAAACCAAAACAATACATAGATTTTTGCTGTTGAGCACTTTTCCAGTTCACTTATAAACAGTAGTTAATCTCCTGTTCCTTTGTACCTCTCGTTTCTTTGTAGAATGCAATCAATGCTATGTACTCCTCTAGAGTCACAGCTACTAGCTGAGGAAACTGCTGTCAGAATCAATTCATAGGGGATCGAGATGCATATGAACCTTGTGTGTCATCTTTTTCATAGACATTAACCTTGCTGTGAAGTAAACTGCTTTAAGAAGTCTGGACTTCAACTCCCAGAATTCCCCAGCCAGCGTGCTGGCTGGGGAATTCTGGGAGTTGAA